ATACGAAAGGGGGAGCGAGAGAGACAGAGAGAAAGAGAAATAAATAAAATGATAGACAAACGAACAAACAGACAAAGAGAGAGAAAGAAAGAAATTGAGGGATATCCTAGGTGCAACGAGGGTAAAACGCGGGCATGTGCGCATATGAAAAAAAAACGAAAACGAAAAAAAAAAAAAAAAAAAAAAAGACTCATTTTTTTTCTTCTTTATAAATGTAATAAACCAAACTTCAGAATCTTAAAATAAAATTTAATATGAATTCACACTGCTCAAATGAATGATAAGAAGCAAATGGAGACGATAGATTATATAAAGAAGGTAAAAAATATTGAATTGCCTGAAGATGTATATACGATGAATATAATGTTCAAATTATTTCTCGCTCTTCTTTCATGGGATTTCTTCGCAGTGTTTTCACGACATCAGTGCACCAACTTGCTTGTATCTCTCGACTCCTTTACGACGAGTCTGGACATAATGTTACTTGCGAAGTCAACCTATCTATAGGGTTTGCTATCTCATGCAACACAATGAAATTTAGACTCAAAATGATAATGTCAATCTTCTGCGGTAATATGAATTCTCCACGTTGCCTCTCCAAAGCTATGGGGACTTTCTATCTCATCCTCTGACCTCACTGTAGAAGTGTCGGTGTGGCATATTGCGCATCCACACGGGCATGCAGGGCCCGACCAGACGGAAAATAAGGGTCCTCCAAGCCCTGTGTCGTTTCAGCCTAAAAGCTTGAAAAGGAGGGTTATTTTCAGACCCTCATAAAGTTGACCTGCCCTGAAACTTAGGCTTCAGACCAAGGTTTAGCGTAGACCATTTTCGGGTTTGTTTCAAGACAACCTTTGTTTGAACTTCAACGCCAGGGTCTGGCACGATGCGACATGGGCAAGAGCAACCTCCCAGGCCGGACCATCACTATATAGTATTGGTCCGCCCTGCAGGCTACAGACAGTTCACTGACACTTCACGTGCAGTTCAGGAGGCAGTCGTTAGGATCCGGTTGCAGCACTCTGCAGGAGCGCTGCAGGAGTAGTAACTAGCACTAGGAGTAATTTTCAGTGTTGGGCGCTATTAGGAGCWTAGAGTAGCGTTGGGAGAGAGAGAGAGGGCGAAGGCCAAGGAGACTTACCTGTGGCGCCATAGCTCCAGCTTCATCTTTGATGTACCTGCAATAAGGCGCCACCTTCATAAGTCAGTACTTGGCACAAGAGAGAGAGAAAGTTTTTCTTCTTCCTCTTCTAGATCCACCATCTCTCCCTCAGACTCTCGCTACCTAACTTCTAAGCATCTACAGACTACGAGAGAAAGGAAGATTTGCGACTTTGAGATTTGACGACATTTGGATTCAGACTCGACATTGGGATCGAGACATCGGCCTAGGGATTATTTGGGGTTTATATCGAAGACTTGGTGTTGACAACATTCCCATCTTCTCCCTCTTCTTCGTCTGATTCCCCTCCTCCTTGTTTGTGTATGGTTGGGACTGGCGCATTCTTCCTGTGTGAGCGTCTAGCCCCGTCACACCTTACGATGATGATGATGTATGTTTGGTCTGCATTGCGATTTGATCATTGGTATTTTAGCCTTCCGCCGCGCTATCATGTACTATGTGAGAGAGGTCGGTTCTTGTTTTGGTCTGTACCATTACAGTATGCGGCAGTTTGGTATCGGAGCGGACCGCTCAATCAGAGGATCCGCCCAATCAAGGAGCCAGCTTACTTGATCGACTGATTGTTGAACGATTAATTGATTGATTCATTGATTCATTAATTGATTGATTGATTGATTGATTCATTGATTCATTGATTCATTGATTATTAGTGAATCAAGTAAGGCTTCGTCAAATCTCTGCAATTTGTTTTTCTTTTTCGCAATTTCGAAGATCAGCATTTCGTTTTTTTTTTCACTCTGGGCATATTAGGTGAACTAGGGAGGTTGTCATATTCTCGGACTCGATCTATTCTTCTCTGAAAGTGGAACCTCCATTCTAATTCACGCAAATTGTTTTTTCAAGATCTCATTTTTTTTTAAGTCGAAACTTTGCAAAACCTTGCATAGATCTCGTTCATAGCACTCCTCCATAATGCCTCACTAGTAGTCGATCGCCAAATATATAAAAAAAAGGGGTTGATCCTCTTCTTTTGTTTTTTTATTTTTATTTTATTTTGTTGATTAGGACAGGGAATGGAAAGTGCAGTTTTGTTAGCTTTCTGCGTTTCCCTCCCACCCAGCCCTTTGTCTGCATTCCCGGTTTGGTAAGTGCCACGTTAGCAGTAGTGCTACGTCAGCAGTGTCACGACATCAACAGTGCCAGCAGTGCCACGTCAGTAGTGCCATGACAGCAGCAGTGCCATGTCAGCAGTGCCACATCAGTGGTGCCAACAGGGCCACGTCATCAGTGACACGTCTACAACAATGTCACGTCAGTAGTATCCGCCACCATGACGGTTTCTGTTTTGGGCATGCAACGCCAACTGGCCAACGAGTCCATTGTCGAGTACCGACAGCGTTTCCAAGCTCAGCTCGCGCTGATCGAGGCTGAGGAACAGTGCTCGGCGGCAGCCGAGTCTGCCAGCGTACAGGCTGAAGTGTAAGCAGCAGCAGGAAAGCAGCGACTTTAAGCCGCAGCTGGCGCATATGCCCAGGTCAGCCGCAAGGAGGCCCAGGATCTGCTGCAGCGGTACAAAGCAGCCAGCGTCAACAGGCTTAAGTTTTGGCATATCGAACCATCCGAGGACCATGACGACACGACACCGAAAGAGCACCACAAGTAGTTTCTCTCCAAACTAGTGACCCGGTTGGCTTACACTTGTAACCATCTGCAGTCCGAGCTGACGAATCTCCGACGGACAGTGTGGAACCACAAGGATCTGCACGAGGATGCTACACGGGCACTCTATTCCCGTGTATAGGACTTGGAGCAAGCAGCACCAGGGTAAGATGCTGGCAAACCCAGCGGTGGAGCCTCAACCCGCCAGTTGGAGCAACGAGTTGACCATGTAGTCGCAATGCTCGGAGACATCAGCACCTTCGCCGCACCAGCCACCATCAGCGAGCAGCTTGGCATTTTGAAGACCGAGCTCAGGCAGCTACACCAGCCGCCCGACAACGATGGCAACACCAGTGCATCGCGGCCATACCAGATGCCAACTTTTCAGATCGAGAAGCTTGACGACTATACGCATCAGGACTCAATCGTTTGGTGGCAAGGCTTTAAAATGGAGATTGGGATTTATGAGGTCCCCAATCACTTGTACATCTCAGCATTGTTCCTCAACACCAAGGGCGGCTACCAGATCTGGCTCAGCCACATGGCAACCGTCCACGGTGTTCAGGCCTTCGATCTGCACAAGAAGATTTCCTGGGACGAGATGAGAGGGAATGGAAGAAGCGGTTCATTGTCGATGACGCCCCGGCGCTGGCCATTAACTGCCTCTTCAGCACGACTCAGGGCAACACACCGACACGCAGCTGGCTCACGAAATGACAAAAGATTGTGGCAACACCCAATCTTGACTTGCCATTTTCGCATATGCATCGGAAGTTCTACAACCGGTCGTGTGCCGCCTTGATCTTCGCCGAAATCATCGACAAGGTGTGTAAGATCATCAAGACCAGTTGGGGCTGTTGCAAACGAGAAGTCAGCGTGGCAGCCAGCCCATGTGGAGAAAGAAAAATTTGGTCCGCGTCCGCAGCAAGACGCTGCAGTCCAACCGGACAACATTGTGGAAGACCCGACGACCACCCCAGCATCTCGTGAGGGAGATCAGGTGGCCGCAACCCAACCGCGAAGCAACAACAACTCTCGTGGCCAGCTAGTACCATTCGTGCAACAACACCAAGCACAAGACCTCCCAATGCCAGGATCAAGGCAAGGAGGATGTTCGACCTCGAATCAACTCGGGAAACTGAGTTGGGCGGGAGATGAGGCGACTCCACATCTCACTCCGCCAGATTCGGCCACCTTGCTAGCAGCCTCCTGCACATCTGGGGAGAATGCGGATGTCGCGAGTCCTCGGTTCACTTACAAGGATTAAGTTGTCCACTTGGTTCCACCGTTGGACCAACCACTCCACGTGCAACAATCCACCACTTGCACGGTTTCACCACCATCGGCAACCGATTCGGCAGCTTCGCCGCCAACTTTCGTCGGGGATTCGACGTCATGGTCAAGACTTGAGAGACTCGACATGTTGACGTACGCAGACTTTTAATCGATGTCCATTCCCCCGACCAGTCGATTGCCGAAACCACATTGCAACGTGCTCACGGCACAATTGCGGGATTACTTGCACACTACAGTACCAGCTCCGTTGATGAACGCCAGAGTAGAGGTTGTTGACCTTCGCGACTACGTTGCGAAGATCGAACTGGAGTTCAAGACACAATGGTACGACGACAACGATGCGTCATTGTTGTACATACGCATTCAAATTAGAAAGGCGACCTGTAGCACTTTGATCGATTGCGGAGCTACTCGCAACTATATGAGTCAAGACTTTATGGTACGCGCTTGCCTTGGGCCACTCGTTCGGAGGAAGTCGCAGCCCACACAAGTCACGTTGGTCGACGGTCACACACACAAGCCAATCGACCGGTGCATTGATTCCGTCCCCGTGTACTTCGCCTCACATGTAATCGAGGCCGTGTCCTTCGACATTTTGGACACCCAGTTCAACATGATTATGGGCATGTCATGGTTGCGAAACGAGGATTACCCGGTGAACTTCTACCCCTGCACCGTTCACATTCGTGATCGGAACGGAGTACTAGTCCCATGCACGGTGCCTCCACCTCACCCTTCGATCAGTTGTCACGTGGTGTCCGCCACAAGCATTCGAGCTTCCATCACCAGGGACAACATCGAGGAGATGGGGGTGTGTTTTGTCCACGCCCTCCCTTCCCATGACATCCAATCGACGGACCCACTCATCACCGAGCTTCTCGACGCCTACGACAAGGTGTTCGAAGCCCCGCACGGAGTAGTACCGGATCAGCTCATCCGCCATGAGATCATCGTCGAGGCCGGGGTCGTACCTCCGCGTGGTTGAATCTACCGCATGAGCGAGGAAGAGTTGAGTGTGCTACGAGCACAACTCGGCGACCTTCTTGAGAAAGGCTGGATTCGGCCTAGCTCTTCGCCATATGGCGCTCCCGTTCTTTTCGTCCGAAAGAAGAACAAGGACTTGCGGTTGTGCTTCAATTATCTCAAACTCAGCGAGCAAACCGTCAAGAACGTCAGCCCTCTTCCACACATCGACGACCTTCTCGAACGGCTTGGCGGCTGTAAAGTTTTCTCCAAGCTTAACCTCAAATTGGGATATCACCAACATGAGATCCGGCAGGAGGACCACTACGAGATCGCGTTCAATACACGATATGGGCATTTCAAATGGTTGGTTCTACCTTTTGGCCTTACGAATGCCCCAACCACGTTCCCAGCGACTATGACAATGGAGTTCCGACACACACTGGAGAGATTCGTACTCATCTACCTCGACGATATCTTGGTGTACAGCCGTAGTTTGGACGACGATGTGGAGCACCTGCGCATTGTTTTGGAACAGCTACGACAAGCCAAGTACAAAGCCAACCATGACAAATGCGAATTCGCTCGGCAAGAACTCGAGTACTTGCGCCATTTTGTGACGTCACAAAGCATCCGTCTGCTCGTGAACAAGATCGAGACCATCCGAGTACGGCCCGAGCCCACCAACACCACGGAAGTTCGCTCATTCATGAAGTTGGCAAGCTACTACCAACGTTTCATCACCGGGTACTCAAGGATTGCCGCACCATTGGCGAGACTGCAATCGTCAAAGGTGTCATTCGTATTCAGCGACGAAGCGTGGCAGTCATTCCAAGCACTCAAGACGACCATACTCATGGCGTCCGTCCTTAGCATGTACGACCCCACTTTGCCAACGAGAGTGACGATTGACGCTTTGGGCTATGGCATTGGGGCAGTCTTGGAACAACACGACGGTGACGACTGGCACCCCGTGGAGTATTTCAGCCACACGGTGTCTTCGAGCAATTCACTTGACGATGCAAGGAAGGAGTTGCTCGCATTCGTGATGGCTCTCAAGCGATGACGACACTTCCTCCTTGGGCGTCATAGGTTCACATGGTTCACGAATAACAACCCGTTGACCTACTACAAGACGCAAGATACGGTGAGCAGCACTATTGGACGATGGATGTACTTCGTCGACCAATTTGACTTCACACCGAAACATCTCGCCGGCCTCTCCAATCGTGCAACAGATGCACTCTGATCCGGATTATGCTGCACTCTATGCGCAATTATCTTCGGATCACCCGCCGGCCAACCACTATCGCATCGTCGACGGGTACTTGTTTGTCCATTCCCAAGGCAAGGACTTATTGTATTTCCCACGAGACCGCTGCCTTCGGACTCGCCTTCTCGGTGAGTACCACAACTCACGACTCGCCGGCCATTTCAGAGTCAATCGGACTATCGCACGACTTCAGCAACGATTCCGGTAGTCCGACCTCATTACCGATGTTATGCGGTATTGCGACTCTCACAAAGTTTGTCGATGAAGCAAGCCCCACAACCGCAATCCTTACGACGAGTTGAACCCGTTGCCTATTCCACGGGAACCCCGCCTCTCCATTGCCATGGACGTAACCGGCCCGTTTCCCCTCGACCACTTCGGGCACCACGACATCCTCACGGTCATTGACCGATTATGTAAATACGCACGATTTCTCTCTTGCAAGTACTACGCCACGGCTCCCGAACTTGCGAGCCTCTTACACACCGGCTTGGTTTGCGGCCACGGCATATTGGAAGACATCGTTAGCGACCGCAACAATCGTTTCATGTTGGCATTTTTGACTTCTCTCATGCAGGAATCCGACGCCAAAATGAAACCAAGTTTGGTTCGACATCCACAAACAATCGGGCAAACGGAGCGGGCACATCAAACCGCTCAAATGATGCTTCGTACGCTCATCCATCCAAATGAGAAGGATTGGGTTGACCGCCTCCACGACATCGAGTTCGCCTACAACACTTTGTTGCATCCGGCGATCGGCATGACTCCATTCACCTTACACCACGGATGTCGGAAATGTCATATTTTCGTTGATCTTCTCCTTCCACGAACAGCCGACATAGACGCCGCTTGCTCTCCCGCCTTTGTCTGGAAGTACAGGAAATTGTTGGCTCAAGCCCGTATAAACATGCAAAAGGCTCAAGTTCGCATGCCGCAGCAAGCCAACAGGCATCACGTTGTGAGGAAACCCGGGGAGGGGTCGCCTACTGCTCGTTGAAGCCAGGGGCAGCAGCGCCTGTCACTCGTCGTGCCCGCTTCCGAGGTCCTCAACGAACGGCAGGAAACTTGGTAGGAGACACCCTGTCTCGCTACCTATTTTTCTATTCTCTTTCTTCTTTGTTTTACAACTTCACACCGCCAACGGTTTCGATCAGCCGGCTGGTAAATTAACAGGTTCAGACAACAATGAGTCTTTTTAGTCAATCGTCAAAACAGTTGAATCAGTCAGCTTTGTGTTTCTAYAGTCAACCCGTAATTCGGCCGGTACAAACCGCAATTACCCTCRATAGTCAAAYGATAAATCGACCGGTTCAAGCARCYTTACTGGTTCGGCACGAATTTGGCCCTGCTTTGCGATCAGATCTGACCCCAGAAGTTTGAGATCGCTCTAGCGGTCGTTCAACCCTCGCCCGGCGTGCATTCGCCCMAGTTCGCGGCTTGATTAATCTGCAAAACTCAAGAACGATCAAGCTGGCACGCCGAACMCATCGCAACGCGTRATGATTCACTGTATTCGYCCGCCTTAGGGTACTGATTCAACAGTTCAAAATTGCGAAATCGAGTGGGTAYTTYGAGTCTGATAAACTGCTGTATTCATCCCACCTTTGCGGGCGGATTCAATGCTTCAGAACTGGGAGAGTTCAAGTGGGCATCTCAAGCCTGATAATTYACTGTATTCGCCCCGCCTTGGCGGGCAGATTCAATGCTTCAGATCAGCGAGAGTTCAAATAGGCATCTCACGCCTGATAAATCACTGTATTCGCCC